ATAATAGTTACAGATAAATAAACAAACAAACAAGCAAACTAGAAAACAAACAAGCAAGCAAGCAAGTTAATAAATACCAACAACAACTTAGTTTGACAAAGGATAAAACTCTTCAGTAAGATAAACTAGTGGTACTTAAAAGAACAGAACGAACTAAATCATAAAAAAAACATTAAGTCGCTGAGAATCCCAAGAAGCATGGCCGAGAGCTAGTAGATAGTAGTTTGGCCATACCAATAAATAAAKTGTATTCTCAGCTTGCATAAGATCGTAGAGCGGATTTCGTGAGAAACGGACGGTACTGTACTGTGACCGTAATCGTACTGTAACCAAATTCTAGTGCCCCATTGGTTCACCAAAATTGTGCAGACCAGGTCCGGTAACTGTGCGGTAACCGTGCGGTAACGGTGTCCCACTCATACGAAATCCGCTCTATAGTATTTAGTGGCTATAAAGGTCGATTTAGACGACACAACTTTTGCTTAYAACCATCGCATGCAACCTGCGTAAGTCGTCCTTACGACATGGGTAAGACTAGCTGTCGTATGGATTTTAAACAATAGTCGAGTTTCGCGATCTCTTTTACGMTGTGTTAGCGTCAATTGTGTTCTAAAATATTCAGAAATTTAGATAAAACTCGTGAGATTTCAAACTATTTCCATTGTCTTCTATACTCACAGATTTCTTGCATTTGCACAGGCTGTTGTGAATAAAAGAATTTATTACATGGTTTTAAGGCTAACACAGCGTAAAAGAGATCGCTAAAAGGGTTTATTGCTTAATAGMCTCACGACAGTTGTAGCCATGTCGAAGGATGACTTACGCAGGTCGCATGCGATAGTTGTAGGGAAAAGTTGTATCGTCTAAATCGGCCTTAAAGATAGGAAGTAAGTGATGTGCAGAGTTCCCATCTACGTGTACATCGAAATAACTCCAGTATCAATGCTGAGTAAGTGCCACTTACCATTGCATATCGATCTCTTATTCTACGTGTACATCGAAATAACTCCAGTATCAATGCTGAGTAAGTGCCACTTACCATTGCATATCGATCTCTTATTGTCTTTTCTGTGTATGGAGTGCGAAACCAAATCAACCCGACCAGCACTGCGAGCACAACTGTCTGTGAAAAATCGAACAGAAAGTAAATAACACAAGACTAATTCCATGTCTTCAAGGGTTAAGAATATCTGCAAGGCAGTCTAAAAACGCTCCATTAGTCGAGACTGCTGCTAAGTAGTTGAATTGAACAGATTTCGTAATATAACATCCCATTCAAACACTTTTTAATGCAGGAAGTCGATTTTTGAGGACAAGAGTCTCCTTCACGGTTTCCTGCGCCATCTTGAAAGGTAGACGTGCCTTTACATCGAAGCGAGACAACCGTTGAGCGTGCAATGATGTAGGTGYGAAAGAAGGTTATTCTTTAATATCTCGTTTGATGTTTTTTGACGTTTCAGCAAATTAGAACTGCATAAGTTTCAAATCAAGGAATCAGAAGTTCTAACGATTTTCCAAATTTCAAAAAATTCTATGTCTTCAATTGTAAGGATTTTAAGGAGTAGCAAGTAAACTACCCTCATTAMAGAATCCCAACCAACYRCAATACAGCGCGCGCTCGTGTTATTGTTTACATGCATCTAGCATACAATAGATTATAGACTGATAGTGCCTGTGAGGTACTTAGTTCAAGGTATTTCTGTCCAAACTGAAAGGATGGAAGAGGAAAATCCTACGAATCCTCCATTTTCCACCTAAAATGGCGCCTAGGGCTAGCAAGATACAGCTGTTTGTTGCGATTCTTTAATGAGCTGAGAGAAAACAGGCAGATGATTTAAAAGATGAGAGCAAGGGTCTCCAAGTCTTACCTGTATAATATTCAGCTTTGATATGATTTCGGGTTTTGACTGTTTGAATGTTCTTTCSGTAAGAACCGAGAATTGTGTCCAAAATGACGTCACCCACGCAGTACTTACGTCAGARTAATCATGCTCATCGTCATCATCTTCGTGGATATCGAGATGAGTATCTTTTGAATCCTTTGCAATGACAAAATAAGACATTAATATACATACAGTGGAACCTCGTCAGTCCGGTCAACCAAAATTGGACGTATTAACGGGGTGGTCGTACAGTATGTGTTATCAAATTCATATATATTTATTAAGGTAAACAAAATGGAAAATCATTGCCGTGAACGCATCTTTATATATAATTAAAACATTTGTCCTGATTTGCATACTATTTTGCTCGTTCCCACAGGCATGGCTGAGGAGACAAGTCTGTTTAGACATTTCGACGCTAAGAAACATTTCTAGAGGGATGTAGAAATTGAAAATAGTAAAGAAAACTGAGCTAAAATAGAATAACACAGGAGAATATTATTAGAAAAAGGGTTTCTGTTGTCAATCCTTTTGCAATTCACCTTTTTAAACGAGATCATAGGGAGTTCGCTATCAGACATAACTTCTACRCAATGTCCATTCTGTGAGGAGGGTGGAGTAACGACACTAGGTACTTTAGCATGGTTCATTTTTGTTATTTCTCTTGGTGAATGACACGGTGTATCGTAGACRCTWYCAGTGATTTCTGATTCATTATCAGACGAAACATCAAATGATAAATTTTCTTGGGAAAGAACTTTATCCTCAGATTTCRTTGGACTCGTAGGAGAGACTTCAGACGACTTATCAAATGATAGATTTTCWTGCGAAAGAACTTTTTCCTCAGATTTTTTTGGACTTGTAGGAGAGGAAGGGCTACAGCAGTCTCCGTTGCCGAGATCTTCTTTGTTTTTGGAGGTCTTTAATTCTTTGTGTTTCTTTACACTGAAAGAAAATGTACAATTATAATTATATTGGAATTAATTATGTACGCAAGGTTTGCTCATTCTAAACATAACGTTTCAAATATGTTGTTCTCAATGACTGTTTTTTAAGTAATTG